CAAAGTATATGAGGGATCAATAACCGAGGGTTTAAAGGCGGGATTAGGGATAATGAAGCCTTGGGTGTGATCTAAAGTGAGTTGTAATAAAAGCCAGCTAGCGTAACTCAGGAGAGTGCGTCTAGTAAATTGTCGTAATTGCTCGGGAGAGATTTACGATAGTAAGAGTGCTCATGATCGATAGAGACGATTATGCAAATCTATATGAAACATAACAGGAAGGGATTCCATCAATAGGGGAAATCACAACCTTAGATCCTTCTCTTATTTGCTTACAACTCAATCATAGTTAGCTGTTAGTTTACTTAACGTTCTTCAGTTATAGTTAGTTAAAACATCACCAATTGTTATTCAAAATATTTGGGAAGTTGACTACGAAGAATTTAGTGAGTCTAACAAAAGTAATTGGTAGGTTAATTCCCTAAGGATTCGACTCTGGGCTAAATACTCAGATTATACTTGCAACGTCCGCTTGTCTTTTTTATAAGGCATAGTTGGGCGTGACCAGTTTCCCTAAATATGAATACGCAACCTAAATGCAAATTATCAGCCAAGTAAAGAAACGAAACAAAAAAAGGAAAGAAGTGCTGCTAAAACACTCAAAGAATGAGCTGGTATTAGCTATCAACATGAAATTGTCGATTACAAAACCATTTTGTTTGTCAAGGTCTAACCCATCGAGTAGAGAGATCGTATTAATTTTAACTTGGAATTATTGTTAGCAAACAAACATACTTCTCTCTTCCATTCTTTTGACTCGTATAAGAATATTTTCTATCGAAAGTTATACTCTGTATAAGTTGTTTACAAGCATAATTAGATAGATTGCCTTTCTTGTAGGGAAAAATAATAGTCACAACGTTCGAAAAAACATACATCATGAAAAAGTAATGTTGAGTGACACCATAATTCGCGTTGATTTTATTTGAGCAACTTTCCTGCGAATCAATACATTTGTATATGTTGGCTTTTTTCTTAATACTGATTATCATACAGATTCATCAGGTTTGCCACAATAATGGAGCAAATAGATGCTATTTTCAATCATTACGAAATACTTTTATTCTAGTAATTCTGATTTATGCATTTTTTTGGGGTAGACAGATAGTTAGAACTAGCTCAATCTTACAAACGTCAAAGATAAACACAAAGGTATAGCCTGTTTGGCCAAGCTTCTTTTTTGGCCAAAAAGTGTTTTTAAGTCAAAAGTGCTTTTTTTTGCCAACATTAAGGTGTTTGGCCAAGCTTTTTGATGGAAAAAAGTGTTTTTGAGTAGAAGTGGAAGCAGTTTTGGAGAAGCGGAAAAAAGTAGTTTCTCTTCAAAAGTACTTTTTTGAAAAGCACTTTTGAAAAAAATACACTTAGAAGCATTTTTTAAAAGCTTGGCCAAACGCTAATTGTTGCTCAAAAGTGCTATTCAAATTAATTAGCCTAATATAAACTACTTCTCACCAAAAGTACTGTTACGCGGCGCCTTCCTGAGATTCCTTGGAAGGGCGACGTAAGGCTAGGCAACTGATGTCAGTGCAGTTGCTGTCCGCCAACTGAGGTCCCCTCCGTACGCTAGACGAGATTGTCAGTGCCGTACGGGAAAACCAATGTCAAGAGCAATTGAGAGAACAGAAATGAGAATTCAGAATGAAAGAAAGCTTGATTGCATTAATGAAAGCTATTACAGAAAAGCAACGCGGTATCGAGGGGGAGAGACACCAGTACAGAGAATTGCTTACTTGCTAGAAAGTTTTGATTGCTTGATCCCCCCTAATAGTACTTAAAAAAAATAATCCAAAGTTACAAGACTAGACTTGACTAAGCTAGAGAAACATAATGGAAGTACATGAAATAAAACTACTCTATATTTACAATGAAAATGACTTAGTTTTCTATAAGGCAGCAGCAGGTCCGTTGTCAGCAGCAGTGTCTTTGGCATCACGGTCTGCGCACGCGGCGTTGTCTGCACGCGCGGCGCTGTTGGCTTCTGCCTGCGGCTTGGCGCTCGCGAGGGATATCGGTGGGGCGACAGAGACACCTGCGCGCTTGTCACTTGGCGCGGCCAAGACCACGGGGCCGTCCGTGGCGCTAGGCATTGGGAGGTTCGCTAGGACGCCACGGGGCGCGCCCAAGGGGTCATGGGGCATAGCTGGAAAGCAGCCCATGACAGTACTTTTGAGAAAAGCATTTTTCAAAATAAGCAGATTTTAGAAGTTTGGCCAAACAAACTAGTAGTCATAGACAATATAGCCGCAGCCTAAACTCGATATACTTATGATTGGGGAATAGATTTCACCAAGGAAATTGATACGGTGATATGGAGAAGTGAAAGGAATGGTTCTAAATTATGCAAATTTTATGGCAACATGATCAGATAGTTTTAACTTGTCAAAAGTATAAACTACTGGAGCCTTATGAGAATATTCAACTCATACTATAATTTCCGGTTTACACATGTTAACAAGTCGATGACAAACACTAAGTTTTCCGGAAGTAAAAAATATGCATGCTAGAAAATTTTGGGGACAGAGGTTCTCTGTTTTATAATTGTCTCCCATGGTCTCTGTTAGCTATTTAAATCATTTTCAAACTGGCAGGGATAAATGATAAATAGCAATTTGTTGTCTTCATGCATCTTCTAAAACAGCTTTTGATCAAGCAAAAATGTGAGAAATTTTAAGTCCATAGACATTTCAATGCTCAACAACTCAAGGGCCTTTTGAAGAAAATAAAAAATCTAGTGAATAACAAACAACATTAACACATGAGCTGCCATTTTCCTAGGGATGGAAGACTAAAAGCATAAATCAACAAAGATGAGAAATGGAGGGAACGAAGAGACAGGAGGGCAGTGTTGGAGCGAGAGGAAAATAGACTTACTTCATTTCGATATTACTACCAAACAATGTGAGAAAACTTGGGAACTATATGATCAATCTATTGTAGTCTTTCCCGCGTTGCATGCTTCCTGTCAAACATGCCCACAGGTCCTATTTTTTACATGCAGGGAAATACCCAAGGCCAAGGGGGTGCATTTATTGTGGAGAAACATGATGAAAAGGTATATAGCCACATTACCTGGTAAATATTATAGTCCCCCAAGCATGCTAATCACAGCTAAGACGGTAAAGGAATGAACACAGAGACTCTGGCAGCGATTACATTTCACCACTAGTTACTCGGCTTCTTGACGAGAACATTGACAACACACTGGTCTTTTTGATTGCTATATAAACCAAAATATCAAACGGAGCCTCAATAAATACATGATTATAAAACAGATTGACACACTTTCTTTCTTCTATATCAGGAGTGCTTAGGAAGTATACAAGCTTTTGGTGAGAAAACTTTAGCAATTGAGAGAAATCATCTGAACAGCATCCTGAAACAAATATGACATAGACACAAACTACTATATGATCCTGGAATGAACTGAAAAGCCTCTTGCTATTCAACACAACCCAGTTCCAATCCACGAAAGAGCACATTAGATTTATTTTTCATGTGAATCAGTTCACTTAAAACAGCCAATTAGGATTAGCATAGAAAATGACTTGGCACAAAACTCTTTAGCTGTGAACTCTGGCATTCAGGGAGAACCTCCTCTGACATTTTATATGAAATGTTTTAACCTGATCCTCCGGCCTACACCCCAGTCCACCCAGGGAAGAACAAAAACAAGCCTCCTTACCAGGGAAGAAAACTAAGGGAAACGGGGCGAGAATGGGACTGCTCTCTACGTACATTAACTGTTATAAAAACTCTTGGAAACGAATACTGTATCTTCACTTTAGGTTGCAGTAAAACGTCCAATGCCTTACAATGGCATAAAGTTGGCTATCAGAGGTACTTTTAGACTCTAGTAGTAACTTTATAATGCAAAATATGAGGCACATCTACTCAGTAAACTTACATTAGAAGGAAACCTTGATGATTCTCCAATGGGAAAGTATATATATGTCCCTCCCTTAATGATTTTCTCTGGAATGGTTTGAGAGTATAACGTTTCATTAATAGGGTCATGAGCATCATCCACCTTTGTAATGGCAATAAAACTAGGCTTGCACAAATTAGGGTATATGGGAACCTTTCTGTTTGGTGCCTATGACGAGGATATTGAGAGAGGTTAGAGGTAAATATCAATTGAAGTAAATTTGAACAGCCAAGCTTCAAAAGTTTCATTTTGCATTCAAAGGAAGTTATGATTTCCATCTAATTAAATTAGTGATTGAGTGGATTACTTTCTATAAATAGTGTAATATCAGCCCTACTTCTTGTCCACGGCAAAAAGTTGAAACTCAAAAATAGAACTCCACTAACAGGAGAGACGTTTATGAGACTGAAAATAACCAACAGTTCCAACTATATAGAGAGCAATATATCAGGATAAATAGTTCCAAATTTAGAAAGAAGTTGCTACTTTCCGCTGATAAACACAGCGGCTTGATAATTAACTCCGGGACTCCAATATCCGAAAACGTGTACTTCCGAACCAGAAAATAAGAATAGTTTTTCATACTAGCTAGATATAAAGTGTAACAAAAGATGGCAGATCAATTCACAATGGAATCAATTGAACTTACTGAATGTGTTAATCAACTCTAAGATACCTATATCTACAAGTGTGCACCTCAGAACTGGAAGATAGAACAATTCATTATATAACATATATGTAAGCTTAGAGCTGCTACACGATGAATCTATGAAATATACTGCAGCCTTATTTTCCTGGAGAGCAGAAAAGGATAACAGGATCATGCTAGTACAGCTTTTCGATGAACAATAAAATTTGGTAAGTCAAGAATACTTTCTTTCTTGATTCTCAGCTAATTGGAGATGTTAAATGTGAGCAGGCATCCAAAATAAATGACACCAGCAGAAAGTCGTGCATATAATTGTCAAAAGCTGATGTTAGATTTTCAAGATGAAAAAGACATTATCTATCAAGTTTCAACCAAGTTTCCAGATGATCACTAAACAGTAATTGTAACGTACAACAAAAAGATGAATTATACAAAAAGAGGCACTGTGTTGTTATTATTCATCTTTAGCGGAGACAACAGTGAGAAGCAGAACGCCAACAGAAGTCTACATACAGAAGTGGAATAAGCCAAAAATACATTAACATGTACATATTCAACATATTCTTATAGATGTATGTCCTCATTCCCACTGGCACACAATTTTCTGAGTGTTCTTGAAATTGAAGTTGATTAACAAACTCCCATCCATTCTCCTAAACACAAAGCTCTCCACCAAAACATAACAACTAAACTTTGTCCAATACCCATTCTCACTTTCTATCTCTTCTACACCTTCCACTCTTACATCACTCTCTCCTCCATCAAACCATCCCCTTCTTTCTTGCATCCATCTCATTTTCTCAACAATAGCACAACTCAATCCTACTTTCTCCACTGTACATTTCTTTCTATATTCCTCTTTCACTCTGTACCAAACAAAACCTCCACTTCCTTCTTCATCTTTTACAGCTTCTGTCCCACTGATTAAAGTTAACAACTTTCTCACACGTGCATCGACTTCCACGTGTGCTTTGTTTCGTCTTGTTTGATTCTCACAAGAAAATATTTGCTCCCACCAACACTTAAGAGTCACCTCATAGAACAAAGATTTATTCATCTGTTCTTTAGTTCTAATATTTCTCTCTTTTACTAGCACACATGGACAATACCATTTGCCAAGAATTACTGGAACTGAACGTTTGGAAGATGCTGGAATATTTAATTCAGGGGTATCTGAATCAGATGGTAATTGAGAGGATAATTGTAGGCCTTGAGCTTCTCTCAAATTGACTTTAAGTGACTGGACACTATTAACGTGCCACCCTTTTTTCCTGAGGAATTTTGGAGGAACTCCATCATAGGCTACAGATTTAGCATAAAAACCACCAAAATCGTAGGGACAAATCTCAAATTGCTGATATGGGTCTTTGTGATTAAAAGGCTTTGGGTTTAGATCATTCATCGAATTGTCAAAGAAACAACTATCCATATCTGCTTCTTTCCAAGATGTATAAGCCCGCCTGCATGAATTGATCGAAAGGAACGATTAATAAACGAGGAATGATATAGATTGGAGTTTAAGCTTTATGCACTAACATCAATCAGGATATGTATAAAAAGAATTACTTCAAAATTCTGCAATATATAAACATGAGTTTAAGTTCTATATACTGATGATGGTATATAAAAAGATATTTGTACGATGAGAGCACTATAAGATTAATTGGTCAGTTGATAAAAATAGTAACTAACTAGTTATCACATGTTAAATTACATGGACAGCCAATGCATATAACTTAAATGGGTTTAACTTCCTTGAACTACGGTATATTATTCTCTTATACCATCAAGTTAAGGCACTACTAAGAAAACTGAATTAGCTATGAACTTCATCGTTAATCTGTTACTTAATTGCTCGTAGCTAACAATTTTTTTTGCTAATCTGTCACTAATCCGTTGCTAAATAGAATTAGCGACGAATTTTGTTGTTTAGCTACAGAATTTGCCCGTTGTTAATTCCTGTTGTTGTAGTAGTGAGGTGGCCTATTACAACAACTTATATGACTGTTGATAGTAATAATCTTAATGTAGTAACATAGAAAATCAACTAAATAACCGGCTACGATTAGTTTAATAAATGCATTGTAGAATAAAAAAATTATTTCCACTGTCAGTTTTTTCATGGGATATGAAGAAATTCTAAGTGACATACCCTTTGTGTCTGCCTTTGGCTTTGATAACATAGTAGCGGTTAGATGCTAGAGGTTGATCAAGAACGGGCAAGAACCAGACTTTATGAACACTAGGCTCACCAAACTCTGGATTATGAACAACTTTCAAAACTCTGTCCTGAGAAAATGGGAGCTTGGTTATACTACTGTGCTTGCATATTCCCCAGCAAAAAGTATCCATTTCTTCTGAATCTTCATCAGTAAGTACTAAATACCCTGTAACAGTTGGAGGATTTGCAGGAGGTTTCGAAAGTGCTTTTGAGAAATTACGGTATAAAGACCGTGGTGTTGTGGCAAACATCGCTTCTAAATTCTGTGCTTAGTGTTTGATGTTAGCTGCCTTAGGATTGGAAATTGGATGGGTTACTTATACTATGATATTATTATGTTTTCTTATGAGAGAAGGAATATACAGAGTGCTTCTACTATCTTTTCATAGTGACTCTTACGAATTGATCAGATATAAAGTTAAGTTGAAAAGGTTAGGAATATGTTATTAATACTATTACTAAAGATTCAGCCACGGGGAATAAAGAACGACGATGTAATTCAAAGTGAGAACGAAAAGACGAGCACTTATATAAAGATTAAAAAATAAACGAAAGTAAGCACCAAAAAAAGAATACGAAAACAAAACAATGATTGGCGACACTCAACTCAATTATATTTCCACTTACTTTAGAGGATATTGTTATTTGCCGATGATACATAAAGATAGTGTTCTAACGGGCAGATTGGTAGGGTGTGGGCAGTGGTGGCCTTTTGTCAAATTTTTACGAATCATATAGTAAAAAAAAAGAAAATTACTAGCCATGTCCATTTATAAGTAGTTTACTTTAGAAAAATGATCAATTTATTAAATATTACTAATATTAATTGGCTAATATGTAGCCAAAAAAAGGTCAGATTTTGCTTTCTTTTGAGTGAGTGTTATTAGAATAGATTGGTAAGTCTTAAGGAGTTTGAATTTCAGCTTTGAGATGATTTGACGGAGTATTGAGGTGGTTTGAATTGAAAAATCGAAATAGAAGATGAAACATGAAAAAAATTGATATGTAGATCACGCTGTGTATCACATATGTATCATATTTGTATCAAATGTGTATCACATGTATATCCGTGTATACCTCTGTGTGTGATACATGCATGATACATGTATCCTAGAAGAATTTTTTGACTCAATTTTAACTACGAATTTTGATACCAAATCAGTCCAAATCACCTCCAATCTTCCTCAAAATTTGTACGTTGACTCATCTATATGTTTTCAATGAATTTCAACCATACCTTTAATTTGAAAAATGTCTTTTTTTCTTAGATTTTTGGAATACTGTAATCATCAGCTTGTTTGCTGCCTCATCCATGAAATTTTCTTTTCGTCTTGCATCTAGTGTTGCTGATCACGGTTAAAAATATGGAAAGAGATCTTTGCGTGTGATTCTTGGAGAGAAAGAAATTTATTTATTTCTATTTTTAATTTTTATATGTGTTTGGCTAATTTTGGTAAGTCTATGACTAATGACTAAAGATTGATAAGTTAAAACTTATTTGGGATATTTAAATAAGATTCTAAAAAAAAAAATTGTATCTTTTGTTTTTGTCCGGACAAATAAAGCAAATTACACTGGACCCGATGGAGTGGGCGCCAATTTTAGCTCAAACTCAGTAATAATAGCCATCTTTATGCACCATGAGGTGCCCACACAAAAGTTACAGCGTAACATCAGTAAGTACTCTAGAAAATTCTTCGCTGATATAAAGCAAGCATGTGAGTTTTCGTATTCACATAGTAAGTGTTAATTTTACCCCACAACTCATAATTAAAAGAACTTATGTACAGCATATATGACTTATACTCTCTCAGTTTAATTTCTCTTGTCACTATTCCTTAAGCCACGTGGAGTTACACTTGGAGCTAGAATTTTCCTTGCGGGTTCAATAACTTTTTTGGATTACATCCTTTATTTGTGATAAAAATTTACATAAGGATTTTTTACTTTCTATATAATATTTGAAATTTATTCATCAAAATTATCCTAATTTTATATAATCTGCCCTAAACAAAGATTACTTACAAATTATATATAATTCATTATTATTGCCTTAAATTAGGGGACTTAATTATATCTTTTTCCTATTTTCTCTCCATTCCTTTTTTAATCAGACTCCTTCCAGTTGTGTATTACCTATTTTAAGCTCTAGGTTTCTTAAGTTAACGGGAAACTTGTAAGAATGCCGAGAAAATGTTTATTTAAGATAATGGTCATCTTGCAAAACTATTTGTAAAATTGCGGGATAGATGTCAACTTTTGTCTCCTGAAGAGTAAACATTTTCAAGTTTATGTTTATTCTGCTGAAAGTGTGTGTGTTTGAGCAAAACATGCTAGGCAAATATTTTAGTGCTGAATGGCATTTCGGTTTAACAGTCCTCCCGTAATAGAAAACATAACGGTTGTGTTAATTTGGTTGAATCACTTAAAATAGAGTTCTTAAATTTGATTTTTATGGTTCATCTCATTTTATCGATTGGTTAGTCATGTATTATACTGGAATTTATAGCGCGTGAAGAGAACTGTACAATTTCGTTAAGGTCCGAATTAAATTTGGATGGATATTGTCTGAATATTCGGCTCATAAAATGTGTGGGATACTTTGTGTAGAATCCATGACACAATTGATGCCAGGATCAGTAACAAATTAAGAGTCTCCAAGGAAACACACTGTAACTTTTATATAAATTTTATATAATATGTCTTTTGTATATTTTATATCTGATTTATACATAATATAAATAAATTTCATACAACTAATTATATATTATACAACTTATCTACAATTTTCATACATTATTTCTACCCAGTATACAACTATAATATCATACACTTAAGTACACACAAATTATATACAATATGTCTTTTGTATATATTTTGTCTATGGTGTGTGCTTCTTCCTCTCTAAAATTCCAATCAAAACGTACTCTCTTAATATAATGTTGATACATATCAACAACTTTATTTAAAAAGATAGTATTGATAACTTAAATACAAATTTTATACAACGATTCATACATTATACAACTATTTTTCAACTTTGATACAACATTAAAATAAAAAATATAACAGAATACATCACATACAATTATAATATAACTTTATTACAATTTCGTAAGCATATTGTATGTTATAGCATCGTCTTCTTCTTCTTCTTCTTCTTCTTCTTCTTCTTCTTCGAGTTTCAATCTGAAATTCAGCCAAAATCAAGTCTAATCTTCAAAATTGAGATATAAACTCCAAACAATATTCTCAATTGTTTGCAACGACACCCAACCCAAACAAATAATAGTTTTTGAAAATCCAAATTCGATTTCAAAGCTTTTAATGGTTGTCAATGGCGGAGAGTCAAACATCTTCAAAGTATTGTGCAACATGAAGGGAAATTGTTAAGTTAAAACGATTGAATTTTTGATGAATTCAATTAAAACTATATACAACAAGAAAGCATAAAAAACAAAAAATGCCAAATGAAGAAAAAATGGGGGGAAAACGGAGGAGGATAGTAGAGAGAGAGAGAGAGAGAGAGAGAGAGAGAGAGAGAGAGAGAGAGAGAGAGAGTA